CGAATTACTCATCCAGGTTGGTTTTATATTTAATTTATTTATTACAATTTTAAAACATTGTATGAATTTACTGCAAGGAACAAATGTACCTCCTAGGGCACACATACCAATAGTTGAGAGCATATACAGATACATAATATCCAACAAACAAGCTACCTCTAAAACAATTATAATGAAATATAAAAAATTGAAGAGTCGATTTCACATGTGACATAAAAAAATGTGGTCCAGTTTAATTTCAAATGTCCAATCTCAGGTATTCCATTAGCTCCATTCACAGGGTTAAAAAATAAAAGGTATCACAGCTTTCCTTTCTCTGGGGTAGTGTTTAAACTCCTGGAGGTAAAACCTGTGAAAAAAAACACACACATAAAAAAGGTTTTAAAATAAATAGCAAACGTGTAAAGAAAATTGTTATTTAGTTGATTAGAGAGTGCAACTCCTGCCAAAGCCATGTATTTTTGGTGCAGTTATACCTATATTGTACCATGGCCTGCTCTTCACCCTCTCCCTCACTTCAAGCCTTATACTTACCCATCCTCCATATATTGAGATATCCACAAAGCTGCAGAGAGGCTTGGCCAAATCTCTGCAGCAAGCTCCATGCAGAAAGTTGCCCTGAATGGAGACAGGTGAGTTAAAAACAGAACTAAATCCCCAGAAATACTTACTTCCACCTCCCAGCAATGCGGTGGTTACATCCCTGGTCACTTCCAGGTGTTGCATTTTCCACCACTTGATTGGCTGGTGGTGGAAAGACATTATTCTCTCGCATGCGCACAGTAGTCAGCCATTCCAGAAGATTTGGAGCGTACTGGAATTGCATGCTGATCTACGCATGCTCAGCTCAGTGTGCATTCAACAGAAGACTATGAACAGGCAGGTAGATGTTTGTTTGTGCAGAAGAGACATTGCATGTGTCTTCTGCAATGAGCTGCCTGCTCACAGTTTTGTAATAGTTTTATAGTTATGCTCAGTTCCATTTTAAAGTCGGCCATAGATGATGTAATTTTTCCTATTCTGCAATTATGGGTTGCAGGAAAGGAAATCACTTGATTTCTCCATTAACACAGTCAGTGTTGATGGGGGAATTCCTCCCGTGGAGCTATTGTGTCCTCCTCCTGGGGGGGGGGGGTGCATCCGTACAGGGAGAACACAGCGATTATTGCTAGAAGCTATAGCAGCTGGCAATAATCGCATGAGAAATCTGACAGGCTGATTGTACCCAAGTCATACAACAATCAAATTGGGTACAATCAGCCTGCCCATAGAGAGTTCGAATCTGAGCCGTTTCCAACTGAACCAGCTGAGATTCGAACCATCTATGGCTGGCTTAAGATTTTCAAGGGGGTTGGGGCAAGCTGAAGTACAATATAAGGTGTAGTAACATTTTGAATAGTGTAGAAATCAAAATAGCAATAATACATCAATACATTGCAGTTCCCAAAAAACCTTAGTATTTTTTACATCTGACAAAGGTCTACTCTTAGAGAGGCAAAGTATAATACCCAATGACACCTATGTGTTTTATAGCATGTCAACACATGTACACAGGTTAGACATTGTTTTCAAACAGTACTGGCTCACATCTTGTGAGATGAGTTGATCTTTCTGGTTCTGGATGTACTAACAAGCATTATAGGGCCTAATGAAGGCAATAGCAGTACATTAATCTGCAGGATTGCTAATAATGTCCCTGACAACACATGAAAGGAACAGCCGTAAAAGAGCATACAGGAGGGCGCAAACACCTAGTCCATTACCACTAGATTTATTAATACAATAAACAGAAAGCCAACTCCATACTCTGAAGAAGGGGGTGCGTCCCCCAAAACACGTCAGATTGTAGACAAGGTGGTGCACGGGTTAAGTCACTTGACGCCACACTGGATCATGATTTGATATGATATTTTTCCTCTTTAGTGAGCATGGATTTGGCTTTCTGTTTATTATAATAATAAATCTAATGGTATTGCACTAGGCACTTGCGCCCTTCTGTGTGCTCTTTTACAGTTGTTCATCTATCTGAGGAGGGCTGCTCTGTTGGAGCATTCCAATAGAAGAGTTTACTATCCACACAGTACTTTGATCTTTTGATGGTCCTCTGAGCGATCGGGGTGTTTGTATGTTTGTACACATGAAAGGATTGCTAATAAAGAAATTTGATTTACAAAATTGAGAATGCCTGTTGAACTATTATTTTTGGACAATGGCTCACTGTATTAATGTTTGAACTACAAACATCATTTGAAGTATAGGATGACACCCACATCCAGTTCTGGTTTATGTCTGTCCTTCGCATCTCTACTCCACAAATTCAGATAAGCATGTGTTATTAATCAGCATGAACATACTGTATACTAATAGAATACCTTCTGAGCAAATGTCTGCTAATGTAATTTGCTGTGACTGTGATATAATCAGTTTGGCCTTGTTTTTTGTCAAGCTCATCTTGATTAGAGGATTCCTTTGCCAAGTGACTGTGATATAATCTATTTGACTTCATTGAAGAATTCCTTTGCTGAGTCTTGGAACATTTGCATTACAGCTTGGACAGTGTGTCTATAGGAGATATAATTTACTGTGAGTTTGGAGGGGTGGACATAATTTGGTCACGGTAATTTGTTCTTTTAATAACTTTTATTCATTTTTATTAGAGCAGTCCCATGAATACAATGCCTGGTGTTTTGAAGTATTAAATTAATTATTTCACTGTTAATGTCCAAAGCTTTTCTAAATAAATCCCCTGTTATATTGTGTATTTTTATCTGTCTGAAGTTCAGATTTAAAGCTGAATTTTGGGAAATATACAAAACTACCCTTGCAATGCTCCCCCCCCAACACTGCAAGGGTGAAATGCTCATTTAGTCTAGGGGTAGAGGGATAAGGAAAATACCATGGGCATCCGAAATCAGTGCGACCGGTTCAGCGCTGCATTGTTTGTGATGACACAGAGGGACCTACCACAGACCAGAGCTTTAGTTAGAAGAGAACTGGAGGCTGCTGTACCGAAGGATAGGGTAACTAAAACACCTTATCATGCACCCCTATACTAAACAAGCAGTGGCGGGGAGCAGTGCAAAGATAGATTTTAGTCTGATTTAGGGAGTTCAGTTTTAAGCAAGAATGGCTTCTGAAGAGGAATGTACAAGCTGAAAAGAAGAATTAATATCTCTTGGTATTTTATCTAATCACTTACTTTCCTCCATGTGTTTAAAGGATAAGTTCACCTTTTGGACAAAAATAATAAATGCACATTTTTTTGCAGGTAAAAAAATGTGCATTTATTATTTTTGTCCAAAGGAGCCTGTAAAGCATTGCACCAGTAGATCAGTAGATCGCTGATGCCATGCAGGTCTCCTTCAGACCTGTCAGAATATCTGCTTGCTGTAGGGATGTATGAGCAAAAAGATATTGTGACAGGAAGCTTCAATGAACTACCACAGCGCTCCACAGCTCTGTGGTAGTTCACTGAAAACTATAAGCCCACAGCCGCTAAGTCTGCCGGGACTTGTAGGCACTCATTCACAGAACACTCTGAATGAGTGACACGGCTGTGTGGGAGGAAACCTGCATGGCCACACTGGTTTCAAATCTGACAGATAGTACAGGGAGAAGTTTCCCCGTATTATTTGTCTGGGGGAGGGGGTGGGCGCAGCTGCAACTATGGGAACATGTTACATGTTCCACTCTAAAAACAGGTGGAACATGTAACATGTTCCAACGGGGAACTTATCCTTTAACCCCTTGACGCCGACCGTACGCAAATATGTGGCCTCCCGGGGGTTGGGCCTTTATGCCGAGCGGCCTCATATTTGCGTACCATTTGAAAACATATGTGCTGAGAGCGCATGCCCTGCATGCGCCCAGCACATATGTTTGTGTCTCATGGAAAGGTCCCGATCTCCCCTTGCAATCAGGACCTTTTCCGATCATGTGACCTCCGTGAGTCATGGTGGTCACATGACCCTAAAACCCCGCCCCTCTTTCCAGCATCTGAAACCCTTTAAAAGGCCGGGAGGCACCGACATGAAGAGGTTAAAGCTATTCAAACACAGGAAAATTAGGTCACATGGCCCAATTCCATCGTGTGTAAATAAGGGAATCTGTTCAGTCCACTGTCTGATCAAAAAAAAAAAAACTGATGTATGGTCAGCATTAAGCCAGCCATAGATAGTTTGTATCTCAGCCAGTTCAGCAGGGAGCCGAGATTTGATCCATGTATGGCCAGGCTGATTGCACAAACAGCATGTCTGATTTTCCGCATGCGAATATTGCCAGTGCATATAGCCACTAGTAATAATCACTGTGTTCTCCTAGCAGGGACGGCTCCCCATGCCCCCTCCCTGCCAGGTGAACACAATAGCTCTGCAGGAGGGATTCCCCCATCAGCACTGACTGTGTTTATGGGGCAAAGAGCCGTTTTCTTATTTGCAACCACAGGTTGCAGGAAAGAAAGTCGGATCATCTATGGCTTACCTTAGTATTGTCTTTCTGTTTTTGGTGTTCTGCTTTTTTAAAATTACATACAAACGTCGGCACATAACAGCAGTATCTAATTTTAAATACCTGATAGCTCTGATTTTATTAGCTCATGTAAATGCAAAAAATAACTTTTGCCTTCAGGTTGAAATTTTCTTTAATGCTGGCTGCACAGTGAGCTCTAAAAGACTCATATATGGCCATACTCTGATGCTAAAGATAGGGGTATGGCTCCGCTCAAGTCTATGATTGCTGAGTTCATGTCTATGATTGATGAGGCTCCAGCTGTTATATTGCAGTAAACAAGCAAGGGAGGGGGAGTTTTAAATTAGTTTGGTTTAGTTATGGAGGGCTGGGGAGAATAAAGTGAACATGTCATTTAAAATAACAATCACATTGTCATCTGTTTCCTGGTATAAATACTATTGTACAAAGTAAATGCCTGATACGGATGTCTGTTATATTTTTTTTAATTCACACTTTGTATAGTGAAGTGTCTTTTTCAACTGTCCCAGATCTTACTTGTGATGATGATAAGCTCTTGGTCCAATGGAACACAGAGTAAATAATGCAAAGGCAAATCCTGGGAGGGACCATGTTGCTATAGCATAACCAAACCATTCCACAATTTCACCAAAGTAATTTGCTCCAGACACATAATTGAACATTCCTCCTGTAACAAAAAAGAACATTCATATGAACAGTTACTCTATAGAACTGCCGTTATTGAAATGATAAGATACATTAAACCCAATATAATATACTACACTGCTCAAAATAAATTAGTGGAACACTTTTTAATCAGAGAATAGCATCAAGTCAATTAAACTCCTGAGATATTGATCTAATCAGTTAAGTAGCAGAGGGCTTTGTAATCAGTTTCAGCTGCTTTGGTGTTGATGAAATTAACAACAGGTACACTAGATGGGCAACATCGAGACGACCCCCAAAACAGGAATGGTTTTACAGGTGGAGGCCACTGACATTTTTTTTCCCTACTCATCTTTTCTGACTGTTTTTCACTAGTTTTGCATTTGGCTAGGGACAGTGTCACTACTGGTAGCATAAGGCAATACCTGGACCCTACAGAGGTTGCACAGGCAGTCCAACTCCTCCAGGATGGCACATCAGTACGTGCCGTTGCCAGAAGGTTTGCTGTGTCTCCCAGCACAGTCTCAAGAGCATGGAGTAGATTACAGGAGACAGGCTCTAGGAGACTCTAGAGAGCTGGACAGGGCCATAGAAGGACCTTAACCCATCAGGACCAGTAGCTGCTCCTTGATCTTGTGCAAGGAGGAACAGGATGAGCACTGCAAGAGCCCTGCAAAATGACCTCCAGCAGGCCACTGGTGAGAATGTCTGTGAACAAACAATCAGAAACATACTTCATAAGGGTGCCCTGAGGGATCAACAACCTCTAGTGGGCCCTGTGCACACTGCCCAGCACCACTGAGCTTGAATGGCCTTTGCCATTGAACACCAGAATTGGCATGTCCGTCACTAGTGCCCTGTGCTTTTCACAGATGAGAGCAGGTTCACCCTGAGCACATGTGACAGAAGTGAAAGGGTCTGGAGAAGCCGTGGAGAACATTATGCTGCCTGTAACATCATTAAGCATGACTGTTTTGGTGGTGGGTCAGTGATGGCCTGGAGAGGCATATCCATGGAAGGACGCACAGCCCTCTACAGGCTAGACAATGGCACCCTGACTACCATTAGGTATCGGGATGAAATCCTTGGACCCATTGTCAGACCCTACACTGGTGCAGTGGGTCCTGGGTTCCTCCTGGTGCACGACAATGCCCGGCCTCATGTGGTGAGAGTATGCAGGCAGTTTCTGGAAGATGAAGGAATTGACACCATTGGCCCTCCCGCTCGCCTGACCTAAGTTCAATAGAACACCTCTGGGATATTATGTTTTGGTCCATCCAACGCTGCCAGGCTGCACCTCAGACTGTCCAGGAGCTCAGTGATGCCCTGGTCCAGATCTGGGAGGAAATACCCCAGGATATCATCCGTCGTCTCATTAGTAGTATGCATACAAGCATGTGGGGGCCATACAAACTAATGAGTACCATTTTGAGTTGCTGCAATGAGATTTCAGCAAAATGGACTAGCCTGCTGCATAATTTTTTTCACTTTGATTTTCGGGGTGTCTTTGAATTCAGCCCTTTGTAGGTTGATAGTTTTCATTTCCATCAAACGATGGGGCATCCTCACATTCCTAACACATTACCCAATCCTTATCAGATTAGATATCCAGCATGATATTTTTCCCCTTTGAGATCTGATGTGTTTTCAAAGTGTTCCTTTCATTTTTTTAAGCAGTGTATTTTAGCACGAAACAAAGGATAAATTACAAAGCAATACTAGTTGTTAAAAACAAATATGTTTTGATACCTTGATAATGCCTGTTTTAAAGTGTGCGCCAAGTAAAAAACATGTTTTTTTTTTTTAATTTTGGATAGAGCAGGTTTTCCAGGGTTTCCATTCAAGAGATCTCCCTTCACTTCTTGCCCTACGTACAATAATTTTACCCAACAGAAAGTGAGGGAAAATCTGCGACAGGAACCCATAAACATATGAAAGAGGTTGTAGGCCTATCTACTTAAAAAACTGTTTTCCTTTTTGCCTGTGTTTCTGTTGGGTAAGTTCCCCTTACTTCTTCCTGGTTTGTAGTATCTTGGCTAATGACACTATGGCGCTTCCCCTATGTTCATGTATTCATTTACCTAGATTGTCCCTAATAGCCAATTAGACAAGCAACATCTTCAATCTGTTGTGTTCTGTGGGCATCTCTGCCCATGGAACGTCATCTATTTAAATGAATAGGACCATACTGCAACTGTCTTGCAAACATGGCAATGCACGTGCAGTTGCAGTGCGGCAGTCCAGCATATAGGGGGTCAAAACAGTCAGTTTAACGGTGATACAACACCTTCTCTCTGCCTGTCAAATGCTCTCTGAAAATCAATCTGATCACTCTTCAGAGAGCACTGCAAGTGTAAACGAGGCCTAAGGCTAAGTTATTATTATTATATAGGATTTATTTCGCGCCATGAGTTTGTATTGCAAATTTGAGTGAGCTTCCACAGTGCACAAAAAAATGCACATCCCTTTTGCAGGCATGTAATGGTACCATTAATTCTTACCTTAATGGACCTTGGGGTGCCATTTATTTCTTACTGCACCTCAATGCACCTTGCCAATGTGTGCTCGAAATCACACGCCAAAATGCATGGTATCAAAGTACCATGTTTTTTTTGATGCAGCATGATTTTTGTGATATAAAAAAAAAGGTGCACCTGCTTTCTTTTGTGTGATTTGCAATAAATGTGGTGTCCTAAACCCAATTCACCAAAACATGCAAAAATGCTCGCACTCTTGCAATCATGGGACAGTACCTGGTGCAGCAGTGTTAGAAGAGGCAGCTCCAACTTCTTACTTTACGTGTATTATAGGAAAAAAAAAACAGGTTTCCCTGGGCTACATACCACTGCCAGAGGACTACTGAAGACTGGAAGAAGACTTTCATGGACAGATTAATCAGATTTTAGCAGACTGTATTATGCAACATATGATGTAATGAAAGAGATTTTACCTTGTGGAATCTTGTAGGCAAGTTCACTTGGTTTTCTCAATTGACGCAATATGTGGTCACTATGAATATTAATAGCCATTCCAAGGATGAAAATGACAACCCCTAAAAGCAGAAAACAAGTTGAAACACAACAGTCATTTATTTTATAGTTATCTACACATTCTTGACAGATATTTTTGCACTTTTGGATAATGCCTTTCTGTAACCAGAGGCTATGTGCACATCCCAAATATGTCAGGATATAAATGGAGAAACAGAAAAAGGGCGCACCGACCTAGTGCATTATTGTTTAAAATAATTTATTGAAGAAACAAAATAGGTATCATACTCACAATGGACATAATAACACAGGCATGTCAAACTGAACAAGATGTATGATCCAAACAACATCTGAGTCCATACGATGGAACCCTGGATGACCAACTGACTAACGCGTTTTGAGGCGTTGTGTCCTCGAAATGTGTTAGACAGTTGGTTATCCAGGGTTCCATCGTATGGACTCAGATTTTATTTGACTTTTTTCTGATTTTCTGACTTCCGGAACGGATTAATTGGTTTTCAATGCATTTACGAATTTCTTTTAATCATGTTTTTAAATTTTTATAAAGAGTTTTGAACAGATAAAAGCCTTTTTATTACTTTATTCTGACCTCTGGAACGAATTAATTGTTTTTCAATCTCTTTCATTCATTCCTATGGGAAACCGCCTATTGGTTTACAAATTTTTCGCAATACGAAACGTTCCGCAGAACGCATTAAATTTGTAAATCGAGGTACACCTGTATGTACATTTTTATGCATAGATGCAGTTATATGAGCTGCAACAACTTTTTCTTTACCAAAGTTTTTTTAAGTCTTTTAGTATTATTATATTATAATTTTTATTATAGCCCTTGCAATCAAGAAGTTCATAAAAATAATGTGCAGCATGTTTACATACATTGCACACTTTTTATGCATTTTGCCAAGCATTAAAATGTAACTCTAGCCCAAAGCTTTTATTTTAATTTTAAATAAAATGGACAGGGGTAGACCTTGGTTGTTATTGCTGTCTGTGACCCCATTGGGGAGATTCACTCCTCTATTTGTACTACTGACCACTGCTATCAAGAAAGAAGGTAAAAGGAAATCCAAAATTTTAGAGTTGTTCCCAGAACAAAAGGTAAGGGAAAGTTTTTCAATGGGGACAACTGTTCTGGGGACAACTGCCTGAGGCCCCTTTCACACGGAGGGTCCAGTCAGGTCCACCTATTGTGATTGATATGGTAAAATGCCTATTTGGTGTCCTATTGAATATATACATATTTCTATACATTTTATACATATTTACTTTTATACTTTAATACTTTTTTTATATTTTTAAAGGTTTTTTATCAAAAAAAAAAAAAAAATAAATATATATATATATATATATATATATATATATATATATATATATATATATGTTGTGTGTATATTTTCTGCCTGCTGGGCTTTGTGGTACTTTAAGAATTCCTTGCTCAAGAAATGTCTGCTCACATGCAAGACATATTTTTCTTTCTATAGATAAGACTTAGAAGAAGATCACGCCTATACTCTGACGAAGATTGTTTTCGTGTGGAAATGACCAAAGACTAATATAATTCTTATGCAGCGCCCACATGACTCTTGCATCATTTTGCATATATAAGTTCACTTTCTCATTATAATAAACTAGAAGTGTTCATAGACTGAACTGTCAGCATGAGTCTCTTCCAGTGTGCACACATTCCAAAGCTAGCTAGAATGATTAATTTGGACAGGAGCAGACAATCACCAGACATTTTAGTCCTTATCTAATTCAGCTGGTGCCGAAACCCGGGACTCGGGTCATAAACCTACGGACAGCCGACCCGAGAGGGCAATGGGAGTCAATCAAGGAGACGGGAAAGAGCCTGATCAACTCTGAAGAGCAAGGTAAGATATATTTTGCTATCTTACCAGTGCTTATCCTGTCTTTGTTGTTGATTCATTCAACTAATGGTCACAAAAGGCAGGTAACATTGCTTGCCTGGAGTCTCTTTTTGAACCTACCTGCATTGATTATCTGCTGCCTGGTTTACGTTGTGTGCTTGTTTTTTATGTGTCAGTCTTGAGGTGGATGAGGAGAGGACCTACTGAGGGTTTTGACACATAATTTCTCTTGGTTGTGGTATTATTGTGTGTTGCCAAACAAGAGGAGGTGTCCGTTTACGAATCACGGTAGTGTGACAGCGGGGTGCAGTAGCCATGTGTGGGGTTACGAAGGGTTATTCAGTGATCTGTACTCATAGCCCACGAGATAGACTGCTATGTCATGTCCTAAATGTGTGTCTGTGAGTTAATGTTCGCCATTCATAACAGAAGGTTGGGGTTTGTTAAGGGCTAAGGAAAGTCAATACAGCAGCGTGTGAAGAGTCTTGGATTTCTGTTAGGAAGAACAGAGAAGGGGGGAGGAGATGGGTCAGACACTGATAAGACCCATAGAAAGGAATGTTAGCGAGTGACCTGGTTGCACAGAGAGAAGAGGAAACCGTATGTGAAGGGATTAGTTAAGTTAGCAAAAGTATGTGGAATTAAAGATAAGGAGGTTAGGCTACAGTCAGAGGAATGGCGGAAATTAATAAAAGAAAAGAAAAGAAAGGTGTCTTAGTTGACAACAACCTGCTGAAGACAGCAGAAGCTTTGTATAATGTAGCCAAGGCTATCCACAAAGAGCAGTGGACAGAACAGGTATTGCAACAGGAAAAAAAAAAACTGTTTATGTTTTAATATTGAAAAGGAACACCCACCGCCTTTTTCCCTGCCCTTCCAGTTCCAGCCCAGCCCAGTGCACTTCCTGATAGTGACCATCTTTCTGCACCTGTATTGTCATTTCCTGTCCAGCCCAGTACACTTCCTGGAGGCGGCCATTTTGGCACACCAAATCAGACTTCTGGAGGACCTATACCTCGAGTGAGCCGCCTCTACCCAATGTGTCCAGTCTTACATGCCAATGGTACATTCTACGTACCGCCGGATGTGCCGCGTGTCCCCACCATGCCAGTCCTTGAACCTGACACAACCGCTGGTCCTGCAAGAGACAATTTTGTCCCCAATAGACCAAAAGGGAGCAAACATTTGCATTCAGGGTCAACCTGGTCAGACATATCTTCTTTGGATGAGGAGGCCGCAGGTCCGGAACCTCCTACGCTATCCGCATATGCTTCTCCAGATGCCCCTCTTAGGCCACAAGCAACAGGAAGGACTCCTCAGGCAGTAAGACCCCACACCCCGGCAGATGTATCGGTGCTGTATGTCATCTTTACCCCGTCCCAGGCTTCTTCCCTGGTGACCACATTGCCAGACCCCGAAAAGCAGCCCATGCCCTTTTATCGCATGATAGCTCAGATCCAAAAGACATACTAGGCAGCTTGGAGAGACCTAGTCAGCCTGTGTGAGATAAAGGCAGAAGACTCATACGGGCCAATAATGGCATGAAGCCTTAACGACACCTGGATTGTCAATGACAAAGCCTTCTCCTCTGGATTGGAATTTTGTACGCAACTGCATGACTGGGTCGAAGAAATACTGGCCGATCAAGCCACCACCTTTCAAGATATTACCCAAGATAAGGCAGAGTCAGTGGGAAAATTCTATACCAGATTGTCCCAGGTCTTCTCAGACCTGGGATTCAGCACATACAGCAAAGCCCATAATCAGATGCTGTCATCAGCCTTTGTTGTGGGCCTGAGGGAACCAATTCGAAAGGGTCTTATCATGGCTAGGCCTGAGTATCGTGTGGTGCCCTTAGACACTCTGCTGTTGGTGGCAAAAGGCCTTGAATCATCACAAGCTACCAAGAAGCCAACCCCATTATGGCAGCAGACCCCTGGACACACACCTGGCCAACGGCCACAGAAAAAAATAAGCCCATTTGTTTCAATTGTGGCTGCCCGGGCACTACAAGAGGCTACTTGGCACACCAAGGCTGTAAGGCCTCTAAACCAAAATTGAAATGGTGCTCTACAACAGTTGTGTTTTTGGACCACTGCCTCTTACATGGAGCAAGGCATCTTACGGAGGAGAGAGTTAAGGCCATCCAGAACCTGCCACTGCCTCTGGGCCAGAAGCCACTCCATGCTTTTCTTGGCCCCATATCCTACTGCAGGTCATGGATTCCTGATGCTTCTTGGTTTATGCAACCACTCTACGATGCTCTCAAGTCTCAAGTCTGAACCCTTCCATCTGTCCGAAGAGGCCGCCTCCAACTTTTTGGCTCTAAAATGCTTACTTTCTTCAGCCGCAGCCTTAGGTCTACCCGACTACAAGAAACCTTTCAAACTGTTTGTGTCTGAACGCCAAGGTCATGCCACGGGAGTATTGGCCCAGTCTCATGGCAACCGCCTACGACCCGTATGCTACTACACATGCCATTTAGACCCAGTGGCTAGAGGAGCACCCTCGTGTCTGCGTACAGTTTTTGCTGCTCAAGCTCTGCTGGATAAGACCTCTGATATCATTCTGGGACATGAAGTGGTCCTTCTGGCGCCACATGATATTGCTGCCATTTTAAACCAAGTCCAACGTAAACATTTGTCCACAGCGAGGCATCTCAGACTAGTGTTCCCTCCAACTTCCTGATAATGTCACTCTCCTACATTGCCAAACCTTGAACCCGGCCACTCACCTCCCAATTGCTGAGGGGGGTAATGAAGAAAATGGAGAGGATAATGGAGCCACTGAGCCTCATAACGGTCTTGAAGTGATGAAAATGTGAAACACCTCTACAGGACTCAGATTTCACCCTCTTTGTTGATGGTTCCAGATATGCAGATGATGGAGGCAAATATCATACAGTATTTGCGGTCACTACTGCAGATACAGTCCTACAGTCAAGAGCCCTATCGCCAGCAATATCTGCACAAGGAGCAGAACTTCAACCACTCACAACAGCATGCCAGATGGAAAAAGGGCCAATATCTACACAGACTCCACATACGCCTTTGGGGTGGCCCATGATTTCGGACCCATATGGAAGGCAAGAGGATTTATGACTGCGGCAGGTACGTCCATAAGACATGGAGCAGCAATTGGACGATTGATGGAAGCACTCCTACCCATTC